AGGAAAGGTTCCCATTCTTTATTGTGTCAAAAAAGACCACTAGTTCCTTTGATACAAAGTTACATGCTAATTGCTTGCATGCCAAATAATTTCAAGCGTAGAAAAATAGACACACTAAGTCTCAAAATCTCATCAATTTAATTATGCAGCATTAAAATATCAACAATACATGAAATGCTCTAATTTAAAGAAGTGTAAACCGAAAATCCAAGTGGATGTCTAAGAAGCATAAATTCATGTGATTGGTTTCTGCAATTAGTCCATGGTTTAATTATTTTTTTTATTTACTTCTTCCGTTAAGTATTACACGACAGGCCTACTAGACGTGTGCCGCAGCCGAGCCACAAAATGTCTCTTAGAGACTTTTCCTCATTTTATTACGTCTACTAAAACATCTATAAATTTTTTTAGGCTTTGCAGACTTTTAAGTACCACCATGAACTGACCGAAGAAGAAAAATAAACATTAATCATGCATCCACACCTCATATGCACGCAAATCGAGGTTTTAAGCGCTGTATCAGCAGCTAAACAAGAAACAGAACAAGACGTAGAAGGAATCGAACGCATCAGAGTCTAATTCTTGAACGAAACGAAAGAAACAAGCAAGAGGCTCCACAAGAAATAAATCATAGATTCAGATTCAAACAACTAAGAGATTGGAAAAGGGAAAAAGAGACAAGAATCATATTAAAGATCAAAAATCGCCACAGCTAAACAAGAAAGGAGAAGTCGAAGTAGAGGTTCTTGGTACAAGGAAATAAAAGAACTCCAAGAATCACATAGAGAAATCCAATACACCACATCTAAGCGAGAAAGGAGAACTCGGAGTTGAAATTCTTGGTAAAGGGTAAGAAAAGAGCACGATCCTGCATCTTGAACGACACACGACGGGAATAGGTCAACGTCAAGAACCTCCACGAGCGCGGGTTCAAGAACCTGGATCCAAGTGCCGGAGATATAACAAAGGGAGACCCCCGACGGAGACGAGGGAAGGGAAGGCGGGAAGCGAGAACAAGAAATCTAAGGAGAGGGCTGTAAAGAACCAGCCTGCCTCCTCACGAGCGATGAAGAACGATGAGACGCGCACGGGCTGCTCCGAGGCAGAAGAGGAGAGGGGGAAGACGACTCGGTCGATCGTTTAGAGACGGAAAGGAGATAAACCAAGAGCAGGGCTGAGGTTGTGGTTCGACTATGGTCCGGTCTGACTTGGGTGCGAATTTGGTCGTGCACCAGAGTCGGTTCGGGCCGGTTACGGCATCTAATCTCCAGTGCGGATCAAAAGCAGGTTGGCCCAAACCCGACGGGGCAGTAAGCCGAACCGGGTTCGTAGTCAACGGGGTTACGGGCTAGGCTGTTGCTAGTCCGGCTCAAGCTATGGGTCACGGCCTAGATTCGGTTCATCAAGCCATCGGCTTTTTTTTAATTTAAATAAAAAGAAAATTATTCATTAAGTGCTAAAACTAAATATCTCATCAGAGGACGCAAAAAGAGATAGGGGATGGAATAATACGCCAAGAGTGGGTCAGTCTTCTGGTTCTGTCCGGTTAGCTAACTCGTCAAGGCATTGGCTTCATTGTTTTGTTATATATGGTCAGAGGTGGTGAGATAGTAAACAATTGCTGGTGTGATCATCAAACTTTGAAGCACCATCTCATCCACAGCAACTTGCATTTATTCATGCTAGAAGTAGTCAAAGAAAATGCTAGAAAATAAACTTCAAACACAGGTAGCAACATAGCATTATTAAATATACATATTAGGCAACAATTTTGCTGCAATACAGAGAACCACCATATAGCAACATAGCGACATTAAATATACACACTAGGCAACAATTGTGGTGCAATACAGAGAAGCATAACGGAGGAAAGCCACAGACAAGATAGATAAAGGAGACACGACAGAGACCAAGAAATTTTAAGAAAGCTCATGGCCTGCTCTTGAATGGGATTGCCCTGATAACTATCTGTTGGTACATAGCAGCAAGAGCAGCTCCAATGAATGGTCCAACCCAGAAAATCCACTGAGGAGAGAGAAAAGGAATTGCTTAGTGTTCATCATCCTGTCAAAAGCTACGATAGGAGAAAAAAAAAAGATCACTCGATCACTTCCTTGTAGACTTACATGATCATTCCATGCATGGCTCTTGTCATAAACAATTGCAGCTCCAAGGCTTCTGGCAGGATTGATGCCAGTGCCGGTGATGGGGATGGTGGCCAGGTGAACAAGGAACACTGCAAATCCAATAGGCAAGGGAGCAAGAACCTGCAAGAAACTCCACAAGATATAAGCCCCACAGTGGACAGAAACAAGGAGCTATGGTGGATCATGCAAGTCGATCAAAATATTTATGCATGTTAGGTCATTTGGCTGCTCACAAGTGCTCATTAATCTAAGTTGCATATGAAATGCAACAAGCAAATAGATATTGCTAAAACAGGAAGGAAACTCACAGGCACATGAGAGTCCCTAGCACTCCTCTTGGCATCAGTGGCAGAGAAGACTGTGTAAACCAGGATGAAGGTGCCAACAATCTCAGCACCCAAGCCACCACCCTTGGTGTAACCAGGGGCCACAACATTCGCTCCACCTCCATTGTTCTCATAGAGCCCCTTCTTAAACCCTTTCACCACGCCCGCACCGCATATGGCACCTAGACACTGCATCACCATGTAGAACAGAGCCCTGGTCAGGGACAGCTTCCTGGCCAGGAGCAGCCCAAAGGTCACAGCCGGGTTGATGTGGCCACCTGAAAACCCAGAGCATAACTCAGTCGAAGATATTGCCGTGATCACAAGTGAGGAAGGAAACAAGCAGAGGATGTGTTTGTTCACCTGAGATCCCAGCGGTGCAGTAGACCAAGATAAAGATCATGCCACCAAAGGCCCAGGCAATCCCCTGGATGCCCACGGTGGAGCACTTGGTGTTGGACTTGACCACACCCATGACGGTGAGGATGCTGATGTAGAGGAAGAGGAAGGTGGCCATGAATTCTGCTATGCCAGCCCTGTAGAAGGACCATGAGCTGAGCTCCGCTGGCTCAAACAGTGGAGCTGGTGGTGGCTCCTGGTAGTCCCTGTCCTGACTCTGGGCAGCTGTCCCTATTGCCTGCCTCTCCGAGAACTTGTTTGCTCCCACCCTCACATCCTCCTCTCTCCCCTCCATCTTACCCCGAGGACACTCTTCTCCGGACTCTAGAACTATATGATGAGCACAGGAAAGAAACGTTGTGTGGCCTGACCAGCAATCAAGACTAAGCTGGGGCTTTTATAGAAGTGCTGACATCTCTCTGCGTACAATAACTAATGGGATAAGGTTGGTGCGCTAATCAGTTCGTCACATTGAGCCGACCGCTTACTAAAGTATAGCGGTCTCTCAAATAATGAGTGGCAAATGTCTACATCAGTACACGTTAGGTAACTCCTTGCCAATTCTTACAGCCGCTCCTGTTTTCCTGGCCACATATTAAGGAGAGGAGGATTTGGATGAGACTAAGCACTAACAATATGTTAATATGGTTTGCGCTTAATTAATTAGACTGTGCACTTAATTCCAACCGCCCAACGTCGATGGGGACCCGCTCACCTGCCTCCGGCGAGACACCAACCGGGGACGGACGCGGCCCCGACTGGCGGTCACAACCGGAAGCCACCGTTCACCAGTCATCAACCGACGCATGGCCGACCGAAGCCGCCAGCCACGTCTTATCCCTTCGACGATAGTAAATCCACGCGGCGGTAGCGTCTTTGAGTGGGGCTCGCGCGTGATATGGTACTGTAACTAACAACGCATGGAAGAGGACATCACCCGAGCATGCATCGGGATCCGGTCACCTAAATTCAGTTTCGTTAAATTAACACGAGAAACACAAGCTCAAGTTTTAATTACAATATAATTAGAAATACCTTTGTAAAAAGAGCGATTTTTTTAAAAAAAATACTTATATTTTTGATATTTTTAAGTAGGACCATTCTTTTGATTTTTCTTACATAGTATTCCTAATTAAAAAAATATTTAAATTATTCCTCAAAATTTTTCACATACTATAATATTTTGGCTTGTTATAATAAATTTGATTTATCACAATATTTTAATCATCATAATAAAATTATTAAAATAGATCAACTTAAAAAAAATGTAAATAAGTTAAATAGAATTAAAACATACTCGAAACTATTAGATATTTCTAATAACCTAAATAAAATTAAAAATCAATTTATTGTGATATTTTGACCTTCACAATTAAATATCATAAAATATACTTGAAGATACCATAAATAATTAAGATAAATTTTTTACCTCAATCACACTAATTACAAACTTAAAAAATAATGTTATAATTGTCTACAAACAATAATAATCAAAGATATACAATACGATGTAATTTATAATATTTTTAGTAATATTTTCGGTATCTTAATAAAAATACCATTGAAAATTACTATAAACAAACCAAGTAAAAACATAATTATAATTTAAAACTGATAAAAAAAAAGGGGGGGATAAAAATTTGATGGAAAATTTTTTTAAGAGTATTTTATATCTTTTATATTAAAGATATTATTTGAAAAAAAATAAAATGAAAAGTATTGATTTAAAATTTACCCTAAAATAGGATTATTTTCTAGGAAAATCCGCTCGTAAAAATTTTTCATTCTAAAAAGGCAGAAAACTGACACCAATTTGTGTTCGTGAGCGGGGGACCCATGTTCCGCGCAGAGCACGTCACCCCTGACAGTTCTCCGGGATGATTCGGTCGGACTGCTAAGGGTCGTCCTTTTGGATCAGAATTCTTGAACATAAATAAAGATCTCTTCGAGGGTAAGGCTAAGGCTACGGGTAGCCACCGTGTAAGTCGACGACCATTGTGCCTAATACTCTCACCGATCGGACGATGGAACATTGCCTGATGGACTTCATCAGACAGATCTCTCTCCTCGAAATACCGCGTCGGATGGCTGTGAGTCGTTCTCTGCCTCGATATATCCCACGCCGAACAGACCTGGACACTCACTCAAAAATCTAGGGTTTCCATCGGCACCGCAGACGGCTGAGATTTCGGATCGAGGGTTCTATTTCATCGATTACGAAAAGGTTTTTCTTTCTCCGCGTTGCGTCTCAACTGATGAATTCTTCGATTTTGTTTTCGTCACTCGTTTTCGTTTTTTACTTTGATCTTTGCTCCTTCAATCATAAAATGAGAGTTTTTTTCCCTCCATATTTCAGGCTTTGCAATGATGAAATCTTGAAAAAGGACGATGAGTGATTGGAGCGTCGTCTCCAGTGTGATATCTCTTAAAACTGCAAAGGATTTCTGAGCAAAGATTGTAGCTCTAATTATTAGAAGAAAAACGAAGAGCTTTACGGATCTGACGTTTTTTGTCGATCAGTTGTGTGTTTCATTCTCTAAAGCAAAATTTGATGCACGTATTTGCTAAAAGCAATTTCTTGGAGGGGTCTCATTTAGTATAAATCTGTAACAAGTTGCAAAATGCAGTTGTTCGTCCGTCTTCAAAAGAAAATGGTTTGGCATTTTGGGACAAAGAGAAAGGTTTTTTGATATAACCAAAAATAATGTTTTTTCAGTGAGGCCTCAATTCAAGTTTCACGCTACTTCTTATTTCTTTAATCGTGTGTGTGTGTGCATATATATATATATATATATATATATATATATATATACTCACACATAAAAATATTTCTTTAGGCATTAAATAATATTTTTAAAATACTGTATAGTATTTTATGATAAATATTAATCTACAAAACACTATAAATAGTTGATGAAAAAAAAATTCGATTTGGGTGAAAAAGATAATGGTTTTTTGAAAGAATATTTTTAGAACATTAAAAATAAGAGATGACTGTTTGAGAATCATAAAAAAACAATATATCATTTAAGAAATTAAAAGATATATTTCCTCGGACAATCATCCAATTAATTATTTAGGTGTCTCAACTTTAATCCGTGATTCGAATCCGATATAAAGGGATGAGTATATTGGAATACCAAACAAATCCGACCCGTTAACAGCACTGTTTTATGACAATTAGGTGCTTCGGGTGTTCCTCGGAGTCGTCGGACTGAGTTCGCAAGCTCCGTGTGTTGTGGAAGCGAAGATATAGAGGGCGATAGCGATGGACCCGAGGACGGACAAACTAATACGGCGCACCGCCATGGCCGGCACCGTCACCGCCGCTTACTTCCTCATCACCGCCGACTACGGTCCTCAAGACCACGCTCTCCTCGCTGTGAGTCCGTTCTTTCCTTTCCCTCGTTCCCTTTACGCCGTCCATGAGTCTCGCTCTCTTTGAGACCCAACGCCCGCTTCCTGTTTGTCAAATTGACGGAGGAGTCAATTCATAGGGACGACGAGTTAATTCTTTTTTTTGGGTCGGATGAGGCAGGTTTTTCCCAGCGCTAAAACCCTAGATCCTGATTTAATATCTTCAAGACGGATGATATGATGACATTTGGTCCTTCCTTTGTTACTCAGGCTGGTAAATTAGCTCGACTGATACTGCTGAAAGATGGATTACGAACAGTTTATCACGTAGCAATCAGAACTTTTCTAGTTCTTTAATTATTCTCCACGTAGGTAATTAGGATAAATTGAATTTTCTTGATATTTTTTACAATTAGCTTTTTGCTTTGTAAAAGAGTTCTGATATACGAATGATTACGAGCAAATAGAAAAGCTAACTGAGAAAAGCCACTAAAAGCAGGAATCTGACAACAGCGCAAATTGAGGTGGAAGATCACGACCTGGATGCCCACACCAGTCACTTGGCTCACCTGTTTCTCTGTGTCGTATAAATGAATCACATTATGGCAACTCAAGTGAACTTCTTATACCCTAATGGCAAAATAAATATGAAACAAAATAAATAATGGGCATATATGAAAATAAGGCTTTTGTGTGACAATCCAAGAACAAATTTTTGAGTTCACTATGAAAAATGAACATTTCTTACGGAGACATTAAGAATTTTTGCTTTTGAGCATATATGCCCTCTTTTTCTAGTTGTGTTTGACATCCTAGTACGTCTCTATATTATCCAACCCAGAAAACAACGTGTGTATTTCTTTTTTTTTTCCTATTTTGTATGCTGAATTGTGGTGAAAGTTTGAGGAGTAAAATAATTTATAACATGTAGCCGTTGGTGAGTTTTTATATTATAATTAAGGCTCTGAAATTATCTTAATAACTAGGCAATGTTTTGTTTGTTTTGAGTTGAATCATCAGTTCACATCAGACCTTATGACTCTCTTTAATAAAGGAAACTCGTACCTGACCTTGTGGTTTTTTCTTCTCCATACATATTAATCGGGCTTTCAAGCAATTATATTAGCAAAGCTTGTTAGCTCTAGTGTAGATATTTTTGGTGCTAGTTCAACAAAATTATTGGCCAAAATAAGTCTCTAGTCAGATATTTTGGCTACAAAATAATTTAGTTTTGTTACAAACTATTTAGAACACATTTATATTTGAATTCTAAGTGCCCTGGTATATTTCATGTTTGTCTATATAGCTGTCATTTCCATAAGAAAGTTATAAAAGTTCAGCATGTCAATAGAGAAGCCCATGGGTCTACTGATCTTTTGGTTAATTTGACTAGGTGTAGGATGAGATCTTCCTTTTTCGAGGAAACCAGGCAGTTTCCTGCTGACTGACACGGTGCTTCCCATGCTTCTTTCTTGTAATTGCTTGTCATTTAATCTAGGTTGCTCCGCAACATTTTTGTCACAAAAGGGAAAGAATAAAAAATAGACATCCTATCTTTTTTTTTTTTTGCAGAGTTTCTATCATAGAACATCTTCATGTTCACCATGTTCTGTGTATAATTCTGATATAGATTTTTTCTTTTAGCATATTGATGACATTTTTTTTCTAAAAGCATCCAATAAATTTCCCATCACATTCCTTCATGTTGAGTTTTTCCCTCTTTACAAGTTCTTCAGTCTAGCAAACTGATTTTTTAATCTGTGTATACTTTATTTTCATTTTCTTGTGCCTGTTGAGTTGGAGACATCTCAATTATATGATCTATTTAAAAAAATCATAATAATTTATTATTCTAATAATTGGTATCTTCCAGTCCACAGTAGATTAATTGACATGTTCTTTCGCTGAGTTTCAGATTACGAGAGCTATCAAATCCATGGAATCATCTCTTAAGAGGTTTGTATTTGGCTCAGGAGATGGTACTCGAGAGAATGAGGAAGATGTACATTCAAAATAGTGATCTTGGCTGCCTAAATCAAGCAAGAGCAACTCAGGTCATCAGGTCTGTTTATTATATTGCCTGTAGCACTTAATACATGAATGTAAATAGCCATGGTTTTAAGTGTCTTATGAACTCTCTACTTCGTCACAAGCAAATAGAGACCTCTTTGGGAATCCATTTGATTTAGTATTAGTTCAAAGTTTGGTTTCCTGTGGCATCTTGAAAATTTAGGTACAGGTTATATGTTGTACTTTGTGATTTCCCCTCTTAGTTTTCTGATGTCAACTCTGTTATGATTAGATCCTCTCATGTTGATCAAGCAGCACCGATTCATATCACCAATCCAACATGACAGTGGTTCCTATGTCAATATGGTTATAGCAATACTAAGTTTTGGTTGCTGTGGTGGATTGAAAACTAGATGCAGGTTCTATGCTGTATTGTTGTGATTCCATATTTGGTGGCAGCTGCATATCATGAGTCCTCTCATGTTTGATCCATTGGCACCAATTCATGTGATGAGTCCAATAATATGTTTTTTTTCTTCTTTTTCTATGGAAAAAAAAGCTAAGAACTAAATAATGTTCTTAAAAGAGAGTGGCAACACCAATACAGAGCGGCGAAAGGGTAACGATCTATTGCGAGTCGGATATGACTTTCCTTTATTAGGCTTGCGACACATTCGTCCACAGCACCAATTTCCTTGTGGCTCAACACAAGTTACTTATGTCACTTAGTCACTCCCTCGACGCTGTCTACGGCATCTTCGACATAGGTCTGCAACGAGTTTGCCCCCTTTGTGCTTCTTGCGATCTCGATCATATTGCTTGTTCTCTAGCTCTTGTTTCTCCACCTCCGAGTCTACAATGATGCCTTGGCCAACGAAGCTCATAGATCTTAGGCAGAAGACCATGAAGCGACGATGCGAGGTGGTTGAGGAGAGGGTGGAAGTCGTCCTATTAGGCTGAAGTTGGAGGATGGGGTTGTGGAGCGGACGATGGTGCATGGAAGCAACGACCCTCGTGGCTGGCCTGCACCAGTAAATGATCGCGACCCTACCACTATGGGTGGCCCTCGCAACCATGTTATGGTTTGACATCAAGCTCCGAGAGTAGGATGCGACAACAGAAAGGGGCAATTGGGTGATGCTCCAACGATTGGAAGTGTGCCTTGAAGTGCCTGCGAGGCTAATTGTCGCTATTGTATCGTGGATTGCTCGGGTCACTAAACGCAAAGCCCAATTCGTCGACACAATTGCTGAGCAACACTAACATAGATGCAAAGCATCGATATCTACGTCATCCTCTTCCTCCTTTCCCTCTACCTCAACTCCCGTCGTCGCTCTTCATTCTCATCCACAATAGCCACATACGGCCCCTAGTGGTATCGTTGTCTACCACCATCGAAAACATCATTAGGGTATTGAAATTATCTTTTTGTCTATCGTTTTCGTGCTTCCATCGATAAAACTGATGACGTTAGGGTAAATGGAGCTAGATGTTTTATTTTCATAACTATAGGGATTCCAATGTAAAATTTTTAAGTCTACGGATTGATATGCTAAAGAGGTCAAACTACAGAAGATAATATGTAATTAATCTATTAGGAGATAATAATGTACGTCAAAAGATACAAAGATAAGTAATATAGGCTAAATGGATATCAAATTATATAGATAAAACCTAAAAGATAATTGAATAGGAGCCAACAAAATGTGCCAAATTACATGGGTAAGCACCCAAAAAAAAAAAAAGAGAGAGAAAAGAAAAGATTAGAAGATAATAATGTTGGTTAAAAAATAAAGAGATAGGTAACATAGGTCAATAATCCAACATGTTTTTTTTTCTTTTTCAAGAAGAAGAAAATATATTATAAGAAATAATTGATATAGGCCATCCATCCATACATGTTCTATTTTCCTAGAAAAAAACCAAAGAGAAATTCTAAACCCTAATTTATAGATTAGAACATAATAATGTAGGTTAAAAGATATATAGATAAGTATTATAGGTTAAATGGATAATATGCCAAATTATATATGTAAAATTTTTGAAAAGGAGACCCTTATATAATTTAATATAGAAATAATTTAATAGTGGCATAAGAACCTTAGTAGGGCCCACATCCAACATGTTTTTTTTTCTTCCTTAAAAAAAATAAGTAGATGCCAAGAAAAATCCTAAACCCTAATATCTCGTTTAGAACAAAGTAATGAAAGTTAAAAGATATCTCTTATTGGTTAAATGGATGATATGTCAAATCATATAGGTAAAATGTAAAAATTATGAGAACCTAATATAGTTTATAATAATATAGGTAAAAAGATTTAGAGATAAGTATTATAGGTTAAATGGATAACATGCCAAATTATCTATGTAAAATTAGAAAAAAAACCCTAATATATTTTAATATAAACATAAGGGCAAATTCTTGTAAAAAAATTTTAACTTTTAAAATTTCTCAAATAGTGCTTCAACTTTAAAAAAATTCTATATAGCATTTTTTTTTATTTTACCCACGTTGACCACCATTCTTTGCCCAGCCCATGGTAGTTCCTCCAACACATCGATCGACCCCCTTCTCTAGCGACAAAGGCATACTAGCCGTCGTTAGACTAGTGATGGAGGCGTATTTTCCGCAACTAACGATAGAGATTGCATGTGAAGGTGCTCCAATAAGGGGGGTTATGGGCGACGATGAGGGTGTGCTCCCTCATTCCTTATCGGCTGTTGATGGCAATGAGGAGGTGTGAGGACATTGCGCGGCCCCTTTACATGCAACGATAAAGGCTACGAGTGAGGGCGAGTTACCCCCCCTCCTTCCTTGCCTATGGTCGATAGTGAGACGGGGCCACAGATGACGATCACGAAGGTTGTGCCTCTAATTACTAGATCCAATGGGGTCTAGCAAGGGCTAATATGCCTTTATTGCTGGCAAGTTCAACGAAGGCGAAGGCTTTACCATCATCAAGGAAGGAGATCTTGCCCCTCGGTGAGGAAGGAGGGCGACGAGGGTCACTACGCCTTTGTGGAAGGAGACATTACCCTCGATAAGGAAGGAGGGCTACAAAGGTTGTACTTTTATCATTGGACGATCGAGTGAGGGACCCACTCAAAAGTAAGGATGGCCGACAGGCGGAAGCGATGGTGGATCAAACAAAAAAGGCAAGGATAAAATGATCTTTTTTAGTCGATTAGGAGTGTTTTATGAGAATTTTTAAATGTTAGACATTTTAAATTAAAGGTTAAATATTTTTTTATGAATTTATCCAAGAAATAATTTAATAGTGATATAAATACCTCAAAATGGGGCTATAGATGATGATCACGAAGGTTGTGTCTTTATTACTAGATCCAATGGGGTCCAGCAAGGGCTACTATGCCTTTATTGCTGGCAAGTTCAACGAAGGCGAAGGCTTTACCATCATCAAGGAAGGAGATCTTGCCCCTCGGTGAGGAAGGAGGGCGACGAGGGTCACTACGCCTTTGTGGAAGGAGACATTGCCCTCGATAAGGAAGGAGGGCTACAAAGGTTGTACTTTTATCATTGGACGATCGAGTGAGGGACCCACTCAAAAGTAAGGATGGCTGACGGGCGGAAGCGATGGTGGATCAAACAAAAAAGGCAAGGATAAAATGATCTTTTTTAGTCGATTAGGAGTGTTTTATGAGAATTTTTAAAGGTTAGACATTTTAAATTAAAGGTTAAATATTTTTTTATGAATTTATCCAAGAAATAATTTAATAGTGATATAAATACCTCAAAATGGGGCTACAGATGACGATCATGAATGTTGTGTCTTTATTACTAGATCCAATGGGGTCCAGCAAGGGCTACTATGCCTTTATTGCTGGCAAGTTCAACGAAGGCGAAAACTTTACCATCTTCAAGGAAGGAGACCTTACCCCTCGACGAGGAAGGAGGGCGACAGGGGTCACTGCGCCTTTGTGGAAGAAGATATTGCCCTCGACAAGGAAGGAGGGCTACAGAGGTTGCACTTTTATCAAGCGAGGGACCCACTCAAAAATAGGAATGGCTGACGAGCGGAGTGATGGATCAAACAAAAAAGATAAAGATAAAATGATCTTTTTTAGTCGATTAAGAGTGTTTTATGAGAATTTTTCAAAAGGTGAAACATTTTGAATTCTCAAGGTTAAATGTTTTTTTATGAATTTATCCAAGAAATAATTTAATAGTGACTTAAATACCTCACCCACATCTAATATTTTTTTGACAAAAAACATAGTTTATAATAGAAAAAACTATGGTAGGGCCCAGCCGGACTCGAACCGGCGACCATTTGATCTGCAGTCAAATGCTCTACCACTGAGCTATGGACCCTTTTAACATTTAAATAATTATTGATTTTCTAAAGTAATATACAAAATATACAAGTCCCATAATGACTAATTCTTCCAGAAGAGTTTAATCTAATTCTTTATTTTGATCATATCGACATTATAAGTATATTGATTATTCCCAATGACTGAATACTTTCTTTTGTAAATATTATGTGTATTTGATCTCATTTATAAATCATTTTTCTTCCCTATAAATTCCAATATAAGTAATAATTCTAGCTCTTATCGTTCATATATTATAGTATAAATATTACATAACTCGAGAAGGCAAGCCATGCACGCATGCGTTGCTACTCATCGCAATCCTTTATGGGATTTGGATCTGAATCCTTAACCATGCACTGCATCTATGACCGACCCCTCCACATGTGCAGCATAAATTTGAGGGCAGGCCAACCTCTGCCCTTGCCACCACACGACCTACCATCGCTGTCTCCGGTCCGTGTGGGGTGCCGTATTATTATTATTTTTGTGGGTGTTGGATCGGACTTTGAACCTCGTGTCTGTCAGATCTTTGAAGCCATTCAAGAAGAAGATGGATTCCAATCCCTGTTACTCCATGTAAAAAGATAAATTGCATCTAGATTTCGTTTACGCCATGTGGATTATTGTGTCTCTCTTCCTTTCTTTTTCTTTTCACTCTTTCTTTACATTAATGATTTTTTTTCCCTTTTCTATTTGTTTTACAAGAGAGACAAAACAGAAAGAAGGAATTACATTAATGATTATATTTTTTTTTCCTTTTCTATTTGTTTTACGAGAGAGAAGGAAAATAAATCGTCGACCATATCGGACCATTCGAAAAGGGATTGTCGGTGTTTCGGTCCACGTCCCAACTGGTACGTCTTCGGTGTCATAAATAGGATTAGTGTGATATGGGGTGTGACAGTTTTTTTAATCATTCCAAGATGCACATATACATTATCTACAGTTTCCTGTTAGGGATCATTTCACTCGACTGTCGCATCTTTAGCTTGAAAGAGAGTAGACTACTTGTAATCAAGCATGGATATGCTCTCTAGCAGATGATCCAAGTGTTTTACAACCGTTTAATTAATTATATGCCACTGCTGCAAAAAATTCCTTATGACAAGTAAAAGTCGCAACAAGTCAAAGCCATTTTGTGAGCCCCTTGAATGTTTTTGGATCATTAAAGGTTTGATCCACCTTTGTTTTCTGTGTGATACACAAGTCTCGGTAGATTAGTTGCAACCCTCATCAACTCTTTATAGCTCAGAAACACAAAGATACACAGAAAACAGACCAACCGTGAGCAATTGCATACTGAAAGCTGTCACACAAAGCTCAAGAACTCAGCACATCAAGTGCCAGTGTGATAGAAAGATGTTCCCGTGGATTATTTGCACGCATGTTCATCAACTGTTTAAAGACTTCCAAACAGGAGGAGCACAAGGCAAGAGCAAATAGAGAAAAACTAATTGGTGTGTTCATCAACTGTTTACCTGCAGCGGAAGCTCTCGAGTCTCAAGAACTCGCACATAAGCTGTGTTCTGTCATAGAGAACTTTCAACATTTTACTAGCAATGTTCATGGACGGTTTGGTTTAAGACTTGGAACGAAAAAGGAGCACAACGAGAAAGAAAAATAATAAAGCAGCTATTAACTATCATACTACGACGATGGAAATACTACTACACCATAAACATTTAACTTCATACCATCTAAAGCATACTGTCAGTCCTTGCTGGCAACCTCCGGAAGAAGTTTACAGGCGCAGAAGGCATCCTGTGTCGGAATCTCGGATGCCGCATGACATAGAAGCCTGCCAGGGCAATTAACACCTGCAATGGGGTCACATACAGCACGAGTGCTGCCACCAAGCAGAATACCACAAATATAGCTGTCGCCCGTGGATCCCTCCAACTAAGCAATGCCTGGACCCTCTCCCCTTGAGTCGCTAAATCTCCAACCACAGTTTGTATCCTTCCGGCAACGCTCCTTAGCCGATCATACCTCATTCGAACAAGCTCTGCGCTCCTGCTGGTGGGAAATGTATCAAACTCCTCATCGAGCTCATCCGGTTGCACAGCCTCCGCATGAGAAATTTTTATGTTCATGTGTGGAGGATACCGTGGCCGATAGCGGTAATTCCAAATGCCTATCATGAACATGTACAGAAATATAGTAGGAAGTACCAGTTCTGGGAAGCATACGAGCATTAGGAACAGAATGTGAACCAACACAGTGGTGATGGGGTTCTTCCATGCGCAGACATCTTTAAACCACTTGCTCACTGCAAACAAGCCAGAGAAAACTGACATAAGCCTGAAGAAATTTGCTTTGCTTCGACGCATACTCCATAAGTGGGAGTCCACATCAGACATGTATTCGACAACTTCCTTTCTGAGGGGTGGCTCCATTCTGCCAAGTCGTGCAGCTACTATTTGGACGGCTTGGTGCCGCAGCATGTCCTGTTGCATCATGGTTAATGGCCGAATGTAATGCATCTTAGGCAGCAAAGGCCTTGAGTATGTGTACAACATGTTAATCAATGATGTCGATGAGAACCGTATGGCAAGATGGAGTTCACCCATTTTCTTGATGCCTGAAGGGTGTAAAACTAGAAGCGGGTATGAGTGTGTGTACACACGGCCTGTTTCAAGAGTTGAAAGACGTATGCGAACCTTGCCGATCTTTGCATCCTTGTTACCGCTAGAACCCTTCTCTCCTAGTTGGCAATTGTCAAAGACACCAACTGTAAGAACTGTATCTGGATCATAAACTTCCCATGTATACTGCTCATTGTATTTCGGGGACAGGCTGTTGATGATAGTACGAGTACGGACCCATTTCTGCCCATACTTGGCTACACAGTATGTATCTGACGTCCCCTTTCCTTCTTGTGTCTTCATGGGATGAAGCCCCTCTGCATTAAGTATGCCAAGCTCAAGCAACCCAATTGATGGCTTCCATAGCTGCTTTGCTGTTGGTCGGAGGTCACTGCTGTAGTGGGTGGACTCATCAAGCACATGATATCCACCATCCAGGCAGACACGGAGGTGAATCCGGCTTGAAAATTTGTCCTTCTTTAGCTGGTCCACATCAACAGCAACAGGCTTCTCAAGACTGAACCACCGACCATAGATAATACGGTCATCAGCTCGCTTCTCTATAGACCCCAATGGAATAATAACACGGCCTATCACCTCATCTTTGTTTGGTCCTACACGGTCCTCTACAGAGAGAATGAGGTGATCCTCAAAGGGTTCTGCAGCCACAAGCATGAAGTCCTCATTCCAAAGAGGGTTGAATGTCCGTGCCTGAACTGCTCTTGTCCTCAAGACCTGATTGCCCAGTTGTACCTTGACATAAACATCGGGAAAGCGGGTCTTGTCAGACATTACAATATCTTGTGCCTCAACAACGTTGACTCGAACATACCATAGCCTGGGTGCATGGTAGACTTTCGACCTTATGTGAGAGCCAACAGCAGAGGCACCAACAGGTGCCGCCGCATCCGAGTGCCATGCATCAGGAAATGACTCATCGGCTTGGGTTCCTATCCAAACCGCAAGCATCAGTTCACCCTTTGTTTTATCACCCTTCTTATCCTCAAGCCGGTACCACTCTGGAGCCAATGGACTATCTGGTGGGACACGTGATGGTACATCATTTAAATCAAAGCGAACCAAACCAACAAAATCATCCTTAACCAGATCCTTGTCTTTGACCACAACTTCAACAATTGATGCCTGCAGCTGATCTCTAGAAAATGCAAATACTTCATTCCATTCTGGGTTCTGCTTCTTCTCAAAATGCTTTGTGGTTCCCTTGTAGTTACCCACTCTCACTTCGACAAAAGGATCTAGGCTTCCTGTAACATCCATGGCTGGCAAATCTTTTGCCTTCACCACACGCACAAAAAGATATTGCATTTGTTCCACAAGATCATATGTACTAGCTGGCTTATCAGCACGAATAACTCGGCCTCCAACAATCTGACCACCACCAAGGAAAGGGCTAGTTTCTTTTAGTGCATAATCCACTGGTTGTTGGGAGGACACCGATGAGTACATCCTGACAATTCTGGGGGGCTGAGGCTCAGGTTTCATAGGATCAGCTGCATACCTCACTGGCTCACTAATTGGAGCAGAAGAATGGTGCTGGTGGACTTCTTTTGGGACACTGTGAAAGTTATACCTTGCTTCTGATCTGTTTTCTGGAGGTGAACTTGTATTTAATATTGAGACTTGGGCAGGTACTTGATGTGCTTGACTTGGAGGAATATCATTTGAGTGAGGACCAATTGCTGGAAGTGGACTAGAAGGTTTTATTGAGGGATCATCAGTAAGGAAAACCTTAAGGCCAAGTTCTCCCTTCACACGTGAAAATATGCCACGCTTTTCCAATGGATAGTGCATGACTACAGCATCTGCATAGGGAACAAACGAGGTTCCAGCAATTCGGACCTTGCCAAGGAATGGCCTGGAATGTGTAGCTCTGTTCACGTTGTACACAAAAGCTTCAAGTTCAAGTTCAGGAAGAGAAGCAGGATTTGCAATGTTGAAGTAGAAGCATTCATTCCAGACAGGATTAAGGTCTTTTTCCTTGATGGTGGTACGAAACTTCTGGCCATCAAACTGAAGCTCCACACACGGACAGGCAGAACCTTGCCCATCCTTGGGCATGAGGTCATGGGCACTTACAACTTCCACACCCAATTTATAACTGCTCATCTCTATTAAAACTTGCTGGAGTTTCGTCAAAATTCTACATAGTTGAAGGATTCAAGACAATATAAGTAGTCATGTCTGGAAGGTGAAGAAAAGAGCAAGATATTCTCATGCTGAGCAAAGAGCAGAAGAAGATATTCCAAATCTGGCCATTATAACTACAAGTACCTATGTTGATAATTATTAACCACGAATACCTTATCTCTGGGACATTCTTTGGCATTGAAAGACTAAGAAAATTCAACTTACGAAAACAGATCAGGGATCATTTTACCATAAACAAACTAGATAGTCTAGAAATATAGAAGCAACACTGATCAATACAAAAAAGGATTCACAATTACATGATTGCAATTTTTTTTAGTACCATATATTAGCAAACGTAAATGCCTGTGACAAGTTTATTGTAGAATAGAAATAGAAAATTGAAAAGAATTTCTGAGTTATTATGTGAATAATATCATTCAGCCACTGCATTTTACAAAGCCTTTTTGCTGAATGTTGTTTGCTATTCTGCAAATTTATACAACCACTTACCAGTTTGAATTCTTGTTGAATGTGTTCTCTTATCAAGTGTGTTAATTAACCAGTACAATATGCGTTGGTCTTAGCACATAACAACATTTGCATGGGAAACTAGACATTGAGAATCAAAACTTTACCTTTTTGAAAGATTGGACACTGAGAAACCGCAGATTATTTGGATCTCATGCAGTGTGAAAGAACCATTCCTTTTCCTACAAAAGATAATCGGAAGAAGGACAACCACATTAATTTAAGCAAAATTAACGAAAGAGAAAAAAAAAGAAAAATATCATCATAATTTAAACTCATCAAATTAACAAGAGTTCCAACCAAGCAAAAAAAGATTGTTGAAAGTAAGAACCCACTAAGGAGAACCAATAAATTATAATGTAATTAATCAGTAGTTGAATGTAGAACAAATACAACATAGCAAATTCAGACAGCACTGAATATAAATACATGTGGAACAATGCAACTCAACAAATTTTGAATACATTGTCCAATGCAATTCAGAAAAAAAGGTGTCATTGTCACAACATATCAAATTAAACAAGAGTTAACCAAACATAAAACGAGAGCCACAAGTGAGAAGCCAGCAAAGAAAACTGATATATGATAACATAATAGCCGGATGTAGTGCAAATATAGCATCCAATAAAAGTACGTAAAAGAAATTCTTGGAGTCTGTCAAATGATGCAACTTAACATACTTATAATATGATATTCAATGTAATTATTCACAAAAAAAAAACAAACAAACCTCAAGCACAATTGCTTACCAGAAGTTTAATGCCTAAGGAGGAAGTGAAGAATAGCCTACCTGAAAGTAAAAGACAAAAAAATTGTTAGATTGGCATAGTGAAACTCTTCACTCCATCTAATTAAACATTGATAAACAAGAAGCTAAGTAAATGAAATAAGTTACCAATGGTTTAATCCACAATGACAGAGGCACACGAAAAAGGAGTCAAGAGTCCGAGATCCAAAATATCATAAGCACTCATCAACAATGGTAAAGATGTATCTCCAAATAAGAAAATGGAATGAACAATTAAAATTCACTAAAATTTATTTTTCCACCATAGATTTTTCAGTTAAAAGTCTAGAGAAGGTTTTACGAGAAATAGCATAGACAGGATGCACAAAGAGAGGAACACAGTAAAGTTACACTGTTAGACTTGCAAGCCTACACAAATGATGTACTATACAGACAGGTGAGGTACACATATGATCCCCCCTGTATACGGGAAAACAATCATGCCTTCCTTTTTAACAAATAGATTTCCGGTAGCAACACATTGAATGTGACAGATGCATCTTTTCTTTTGAGACGAATGTGATCAGGAAGGCACAAAGACAGGAAATTAACATGAAAACAGCAAATCTTCCCTGTCTACAATTAACGAAGGACCAAAGCTTCCGTTTTCCTACAGTAATTGCCAGATCTATTTAGGAAAAGCTCACCAGTTATGAAGGTAACCAAGGGAAGTACAAACAGCCAGTGGTGTGGGAAGAAAGGACCAAGCTTGCTTATTGCAGCTACAATGAAAGGATGAAAGACCTTTCAAAAGAAAGCAATTGACAACGAAAAATAAGGTAGCACCCGAGCCATCAATGGATACCCAAATTTCACGGTCTCACATAAGCTATAACGAACATATCCCGCTCTAATCAACAAACTCCCCTTCAGATCTGTCCCTAAATTACCACGAGAACCCATTTTTCCCTCTGCCAGCCGCTCTGAACAATTTTTCTTCCAGCGAAACCACAATCGAGAAAGCCAAAATAAAATTTTCATTTTTTTTCTCGAGAAACCACTTCAATGGCGTAATGGAAGAGAAAATAGTCGGATCGAAGACGCAAGCACCTCACCTTCCGAGCTGAACTTGTACAACTCGCCCTGCTTCCTCGAATCACACTTCCGGGGGTCGATTCGGTCGAGATCTGGAGCAGTTACAGCATCAAGCTCTACACAAAGAGGAGGAAGTAAGAGGAAGGGATTAGCAAGGAAGTGAGGACGGAGTGGGTGCGGGTGGGGAAGAGGAGGGAGGAGGAAAAGTAGCTTACCCCTGCGGCCATATCCCTGGGGGAAGGCGAACACGGTCGTCTCTTTCTTTATGGCCTTTTCGATGTCGTCTTTCCCTCTTTTGTCTTCTGATCCTTTGGATCTCTTCTCCCAACTCCTTCGTGGAATGCTAATATAGCAGCAGCTGTTCTCAGTCTTCGTAGTCGCTTTTAACGGAAAAGTAAATCAAATTAAAAGTAATTAAATGGATAAAACGGTCAAATTTCAATTTGGAGTCGTTGGGCGTCGGTAGCGCACAAAGCCCACACGTTATCAGATTCCCACACCACCCGCACCACATACCCTGTCGGTCCTACAGAGGACTTCAGTGATCTTCGAAGTCGGTAGACTGCGGAGTAGGTCGGACAAGTGTTCCGACGCATGGGCGAGTAAACGCTGGCACGGAGCGCCCGCAACACGCAGACCGCGGAGTTAATGGTAGCGATGCTTATGTACCCACCCATGTGACGAACCCGACTCGCTTACCTTGAATTATTACTGAACATAAATGTGGGTCCCGCTTGTTGTATCGAATGAAAACTAGGATGGACAGTCGTGTGGAAATTCAATACCGACGATCGTGTCTGCCTATATATTTCACCCCGAAGTTGGATGAAATAACAAAATTGGCATCTACGATCATTCTTCGCCACCAAATCAGCACCGATGTTATTTTTAGGATATTTATTTTTTATGGTAATTATATGAAGAAAATTATTTAGCGTTATTGAATGTTAATATTAGATTTATGACAACTGAAGTATTTCGGTATTTATTCACTATCGAACGCGAAAAATAGACGCGATTATTCGAGGAGGACTCCCCGTTTTTCTTTCTCATTCCGCAAGCAAAGGGGGGTCTTAAGGAAAAGGAAATGGCACGGAAGACGTCCCTTTCCTGACGCACGACTAACAGCTTCGAAGGGCCGATTCGGCCCCCGTGGCGTGTGCACGCAAAAGATCGAACAGGTTGCGCGCATTCTTTTGCTCGGTCGGTGCGGCATGGGAAACACTGCCGCTCACATGGTGCTGCGGGTGGGACGTGGTGGGAGAACTCCTTGCCCTAAAAACAATAGCCTCGATCGAGATGATCGATTATGAAAGGAGATACCTAGTAAGGTCAGCAGAATCCGATCGCTCGCGGCATCGATCGAACACGTGATCACGACCGCCGCCTTGGTCGTCGTGCGAGGGAGATGGAGGGGGGAGAGGTGGTTTGCGCACGCTGAAACGACGGGCTCGACCGTGTGGGTTATCCGCTTTCACTCATGTGCGGTCAAGCGCGGTGGGCGGGGGCAGACATCGGGCTCGAGGAGTGTCGGTCACGAGGACGGGCCCATCACGAGGACCACGTGGCGGTAAATGACCATGGGCTGCCCGAGTAGTCGGTGGACCGGAAGCTGGTCAGATCCTACGACTGTGACCCGACGAAGTTTCTCGGTTGATGCGGCGTGTCGGCCTTGGCGAATTGGCGGGAAATTTAGCTATGGCAACAGAAAGATGGGCCTATGATGGATCCATAACAGGCCCAGCCCAACGATCTTACGAATGGATGTACCAAAAAAAAATTGTAAGTCTATTCAATAATAATATTTGATATAAAAAGTTTTCACATCTGATTATTATTTTTTTTTAAATAATAAAAATATTGATTATTTTTAATAATAATAATAATCGAGGATAAGGTATTACGTGCTTGTGGTCTGTTTAGCACTCGATTTCAATTAGTTCCGTGTCCGTAGCTGCGATATAAATCAGGGGCAAAACCGTCAACTTAATCTCTTCGTCGAAGACGCTGTTCGCTGTCCACCTTCCTGGAGCAACGATAAGGGGGTGGAGGAGGGATTCGAAGACGCAAGCGATTAGGTCATCAGCAGGCCTCGGAGACGAACGAAGCCTGAGGAGTCTGTGTCCTCCTCCACAACTGCTGTTGCCGTCTGTCCCAGTGTTCATTGATGTGATGTAAAATGGTGAGGATGTCGTTCAATAGGCACACTGGGTGGAGGTGGAATGCTGGAGACGGGGGCCCACGAGAGCCTGAGGCATCCCCTGCCACAGCACTAGCAGAAATATCCATGGCTTAATAGTGGCCATCGTGAGTTGAACAGATTCTGAGTGACTTTGGCACGTCTACTGATAATAAATCGTTGGTGTGCATTCTAATGTTGGCCAAGACAGATTAAATACGCATGCCACTAGGCGTGCACTCGGAAGAGGCCAGAATCTTCCGCGATGCGATGCGATGGATGAGTGTAGATTCTTATCGTGTGTTCCTTTCTCTGCATCGGGCAGGTGACGTGATTCCACATACATACAATTTGTGAGGTCCAGATTCACATACCTATCCAGCCAGCTTCACACCCTTCTTTCGGGCTTCCTTTCCCATTACGGATTTGCAGGTTTGAGATGTAAACCTGGCGGATTTCCGGCTTCTCTCTCTACCTTGTATAATGATACAATCGAAAGAAATCCTAAAATTTAAATCTAGTTTCACTTGACTCAATTTTTAAAGTATTATGAATGGGTATTAATACCAAATATGACATGCATCAATGACGATTTGACAGTAAAAATAATATAACACATTGAAATTGATTAAGATTAAGATTGACTTTTAAATTTTGATGGATAACAAAATCATTAACATAAGGTTAAATATTTTGAGCTAATAACAAAATTAATAGGATAATTAAATAGTGACAGTAATTATAGAATATATATATATATATATATATATATATATATATATATATATATATATATATATATATATATATATATATATACCATTTAATAAAACAAAGATTTCCCATCTTAGAAATAAAAGAAGGCATGCCATGCGAAGAACATGAAAGTTGCCTCCTAGTCTACCAACAGATGTGCATGCTTTAGACTTTGAACAAAGGTTTTTAATATCAGCCGACACACTAAGTGAAGTGTCAAATACATACAGGGAACTTTGGAAAATACTAAAATCAAAACCGTCCATCATAATCATATTAACGGATCTGAACCGTCCATCTTCAATGAGAAAGCAAATATTAATATTCTTTTATCGCTAACCTGCTGGTTGGTTGCCTCTTCATGGATCGATGAGCCGTTTTCCAATGCTTATCCCCAACCCATTGGGATATGCTCTTTATCCATGCGCTTGCCTGCTAATTAGTATCTGTCGTCGACACGTTTGTCCCAACTTGAAGCCAGAAACTTCGGGTTGCAAGCCATCCATGATGTCCATGAATTCATGGAGTTCTCATGCATATCAGTCACTATAGCGATACTGTTCGGCTTGTCTCATGACGACTCGAGCTTTGACCTGAATCAAGCCAATGTCGCCAACCAATCTTGCACCATTGACCGGAATCAAGTGTTGCAGTGAGTCAAATCCACGGACCGACTTTAGGGCGACCAATTAGAATTGTTATTATTATTATTATTATATTCATCTTTATTTACTTACAGTAACCAATGATTCCTCGATGAAGTAATTATCACAGGGTTTTATAAAAGAGACGCTGGCACACACAAACTCCGTCAGGCAGGTGCGTCAGGTGGAGGTGGTATCTGAATCGGAGATAAAGCCGGAGACGTCACGTGAAGTCCCTCCGTTACCCTTTCTCCTGCCTCACGTCATCGATCTGCTCCACCGTCATGTCCCACCCACCGCTCCTTAGGCAGTTTCCTGGGAAACAGATAAAATAAAGATATGAACGGCTCTGATCTTAATCACGAAAAATATCCCCTCGATCTCTACCTCCACGTATACCCGTGGCAGCCGTCATCGCCGAGGTCACGCCCACAAGTGGCCATGCGGAACGCGGATCGTCCAACGCGCGACACGTTTCAAAATGAGAGAGGAGGTGGTGGGTTTGTGGGCGGGGGAGGTTGTCGCTCCGTTCCTGACGTGTTCCGCATTCGCGGCTATATATATGACTGCTCCGCCCCGTTCCCTCCACACTCTTCTCTGTCAGCTCGTTCGCCGTTTCGTCTGTTCTGTGATTGTCTGTGTTGCAGCGGTTCTTTGTTTGTTTTCGTCTCTCCTTTGGGTGGTAACTTGAGCGGTGACGATGGAAGGGCTCACGACTCTGACCGGGCTGCTGCGGAAGGCCGCCGGAGACTTCCCCTCCCGGCGCGCCATCACCGTCCCCGGGCGCCACGAGCTCACTCACGCCCGCCTCCACCAACTTGTGGACGCCGCCGCAGCTCGCCTTGCTGCAGCCGGCGTACGCCCTGGCGACGTCGTCGCCCTCGCCTTCCCCAACACCGTTGAGGTTTGTTGCTTGTCCTTTTTTATTTTTACCCTTGGTTTGATTGATCTTCTTCGCCTTGGGTTTTTCGCGATCATGCTGCTGATGTGTTGCTTCGGTTTCGTGCAGCTTGTGATTGTGTTCTTGGCTGTGCTCCGCACCCGTGCCGTGGCCGCCCCGCTCAACCCGGCCTACACCCGCGATGAGTTCGTGTTCTACCTCTCCGACTCTGAGTCGATTCTGCTGCTGACGAATGCCGAGGGCAACGCGGCTGCGGAGGCTGCCGCGGCCCAGCTCGGGATCCCCCGTGCCGCCGCCTCCCTCCGTGACCCCTCCGGCTTGCTCGAGCTCACCCTCCCGGGAGACAGGCCCGCGGCAGAGGGCGTCGCCCCAGTCGCCGGTCGCGTCAACGACCCCTCGGACGTCGCTCTGTTCCTGCACACCTCCGGCACGACGAGCCGGCCCAAGGGCGTGCCCCTCACCCAGCTCAACCTGGCCGCGTCCGTCACCAACATCCGGTCCGTGTACCGGCTCAGTGAGTCCGACTCGACCGTGATCGTTCTCCCCCTGTTTCATGTTCACGGCCTTGTCGCCGCACTCCTCTCATCCCTTGTCGCCGGCGCCTCGGTGACCCTTCCGGCCGCTGGCCGCTTCTCGGCCTCCACCTTCTGGGCCGACATGCTCGCCTCCGGCGCCACGTGGTACACCGCGGTGCCCACCATCCACCAAATCCTGCTCGACCGCCACGCAGCCCGGCCCGAGCCCGCCTACCCTAAGCTCCGCTTCATACGGAGCTGCAGCGCGTCGCTGGCACCGGCGATCCTGGAGCACCTGGAGGCCGCATTCGGCGCGCCGGTGCTGGAGGCATACGCGATGACGGAGGCCGCGCACCAAATGGCGTCGAACCCGTTGCGAGAGGACGGCCCGCGGAAGCCAGGCGCTGTGGGGCGGCCAACGGGGCTGGAGATGGCGATCCTCGACGAAGAGGGCGCCCGCCGCCCGCCGGGCGTGCCAGGGGAGGTGTGCATCCGCGGACCCAACGTGACCCGGGGCTACAAGAACAATCCGGAGGCGAACAAGGCGGCCTTTGCCTTCGGATGGTTCCACACCGGCGACGTCGGCTTCCTGGACAGCGATGGCTACCTCCACCTCGTCGGTCGCATCAAGGAGCTCATCAACCGCGGAGGTACCCCACCCCAACACGCATTTCCTCGAACAGGTTGCATCCCACGATCTAGTGTAATCTCAGCCATCTGATCTCTCGTCCACTGCTGGTCACAGGCGAGAAGATCTCTCCGATAGAGGTGGACGCGGTGCTGCTGGAGCATTCCGACATCGCGCAGGCGGTGGCGTTCGGCGTGCCGGACGACAAGTACGGGGAAGAGGTAAGCCGCTCGTCGCCTGGTTAAATCTGATCCATCGGTTCTCTAATAGACGGCAGCTATTGACCGGTATGCGTGATGGATTGCAGATAAACTGCGCGGTGATACCGAAGGAGGACGCGGAGATCGACGAGGCGGATGTGCTGAGGCACTGCCGGAAGAACCTGGCGGCGTTCAAGGTGCCGAAGAGGGTGTTCATAACGGACTCGCTGCCGAAGACGGCGACGGGGAAGATCCAACGCCGGACGGTGGCCGAGTTCTTCGTGCCGCCCGCCAAGGCACCCAGGGCCGGAGCTTAATATTCGACTGCTTCCGGTCTGCTAATAGGCTACGACAAAATCATATTAAGGGAAAAAAAAGCCCAAAAAATATCGTATTTCCAATGTAATAGAATCCCTTTTAATATCATTATATGTTGTTTTCATGTAAACCATTGTTATTCGTCTGTTGCGGACCGGTGAGATTTGGGCGCAAAGGTGTATCACGACTGCTTACCAACCGTGCTTGGGAGTGGTCGCGGGGTTTTGTCTTGGTTCGGCGCACGGTGTGGTGGGAACTGACGCTCGAACGCACGTCTCGGACTCTCGAGGCCAAGAAGAGGGGGGAGGGAATGGTTGCAGTAGTCACGCGATACGCAACCGCTCTCTTAGAAGTGACATGGGTCAGTCACATGGGTCAACGGGTCAAAGGAACGAGTGACGTCTGTGCTTTATTTGGGTACATTTTTCCTCTTAAAAATATTTTTAAGATTTGATTCAGAAGCCAATAAAATTAGTTTAGTTGATCTGTCATTTCATTTTGCTACGCGCGTGATTAATATTTTTTATTAAATAAAAAATGAGAAAAGAAAAAGATGGCTGGCTTACCTTTTTCTTGCAGTTAAAATATTAATTTTATTTTTCTAAAAAACTGAGAAGAGTATTTGGTAGAAAATAACAATAAATAAATAAAGTTTTGTCCTCACTTTTATCAGTAAGCTTTTCCTTTTCTTTACATAGATAGGATCGAGTAGCAAAACAGTAGGTTCCATCGCCTGCAACGTGAGATCCCAACCAGAAATAAGGTGTCTTGGCAACAGCTGCTTAAGTGGACTGCATTGTTTCTGAGATGAGATATCATCATCCCCAAAGATTCAGTCCACGAGTTGCGCTCCACACAATGCATGCATCTCCGCTCCTTTTCTTGTCGGTCACGGAAGAGATCTGAGGCCACTGCTTCTCCATTTAGCTGTTGAATATTATTAGTCAGATTCGTTTTGATGAATTCCACTTCAAATGTTATTCGCCTTCGATGATTGTTTTTTTCTTCTTCTTCTCATCTTATTATCTAAGAAGGAGAAGAAGTAACATTACATATGGACGATCTAATGATACGTCGTTCTATGACTATGATGTCTACTCAGTCAAAGCGAGGATGTTCATCTATCTTTGTGAAAAACTTGTGACAACGATTTGAGATTTGAGATGTCATGTTATTGATTGTAACGCTGGACGATTCTGTAACCGTTATTATTAAATATTTAATTTAATAATAATATAACTATTCTCATTATGATTCATAATTCATTATCATGAATTTCTTCATTTATTATGATTTAAATGATTTCAGTTTTTTATTCTTTATGCATGAAACCGTTATTATTAAATTACATATTTAATATCATTAAAGTTCTTAATTATGGTTCAAACGTTATAAATTTGAATTAATTCTTAAACGTTATGATTTGGTGATAATAAATGTTCTTGATGGGAGAACATCTATATGTATGAGAATTTTGGTTTCTCGGCTCAATCATCTCTTTGAAGGGAAAGACTTTCCTACACCATCTAAGGCGAGAGTTCTGAGCCAAGAAGTACCAAAGTTCAAGAAGAAACCTCTGTAGAAATTCTTGGCGACAATGGCTGGAGGTACGCTATTTTGTTTCCGCATTAGTTTTATTGTATTTCTATTATAATGATTTAGAAACACAAGTTGGTTTCATTGATTTCTAATATTTGGTATCAGAGCCGAATGACCTCTGCCTTGATATGAAAAAGTTTTCATTTTTATGCCATGAAAATGATTTGATTTTGGTTTGTTCTTGGAAACTTCTTGATATATTTTATTGAAAATCATGAGGAAATATCATTTTCAACATTTTTGTCGGTAAAATGCTCATATTATGTATGCATATTTAGTTATATTAAATTATGCTTATGAGCAAATTTTTTATGTTTAAAATGTCTAATGATCCATATAATCTTAATTAATTAAGAATTAGCCACATCATCCTTAATTAATTAAAATTATATATAAAGTTAAAATAAGGATCACATAAGTAATTAGACATCATATTGTGATTGATTATATTTCGTATAATAATTGTTATCTCACAGGATCTTTTATTATATTTTATATAATTAATCAGGATAAAATATCAGATTATTTTCATAATTTACCCACAGGGATTATGAATTGGAATATAATTTGATAGTTTTATCATAAAGACCATATGAATCTATTTAAATTAAGAATTTAGCCCACAAGCAATTTTTATGTCATGAGATTCATATTTTTGACATGTTTCACATTGGTAAAACATGTAATTTAGTCTATTAAGCTTTAAATTTTGACATAAGCATGCTTGATTTTATGCAGTTTCTCAAACTGTTAATTTCTCTGATATTCGATGTGATATTCCCGAACTTAGTGGTGATAACTATAAGATATGGAAGGATAGGGTTCTCCTCCATTTAGGGTGGATGGATATTGATTATGCTATTAGAAAAGACGAACCACCTATAGTAACTGATACCAGCACTCTAACTGAGATCGCGTTATATGAGCAATGGGAGCGATCCAATCGGCTCAGCGTGATGTTTATCAAAACTAAGATAACTGTTGGCATACGTGGTTCTGTTGACCAGCATGAAAATGTCCGAGACTTGCTAAAAGCTATCGATGAACAATTCATCACTTCGGATAAGGCACTAGCAAGTACCCTTATTATGAAATTTTCATCCCTTAAGACTCACCAACATAAAGGGTGTGCGTGAGCACATAATGCAAATGCGAGATATTACGGCTCAACTTAAGAAACTTGAGGTTAATATGTCAGAATCCTTCCTGGTGCACTATATTCTGAACACCCTTCCACCTCAATATAGCCCTTTTAAAATTTCATACAATACACATAAGGACAAATGGTCAATCAATGAATTAATGACCATGTGTGTTCAAGAAGAAGAGAGGCTAATGATGGAATTGGGTGAGAATGCATTAGTAGTAACCACTCGAGGGAAAAACAAAACTGACAAACATCAAGCCAATCAGAAAGCTCATCAGCAGGGAAAAGGTAAAATACCACCCCAAGCTGATATCAAGAAAGAAGTAAGGTGTTTCTTTTGTAAAAGAAAGGGACACATGAAGAAGGAATGCACGAAATTCCAACAATGACTTGAAAAGAAAGGTAAACCAACCTCATATGTATGTTATGAATCTAATATGGTCAATGTTAATATTAACACCTGGCGGATTGATTCTGGATCAACAATCCATATTGCAAACTCTTTGCAGGGTATGCAAAACCTAAGGAAGCCGGTGGGAAGTGAGCAAAGCATCTTATCAGGAAATAAGATGGGCTCACATATGGAAGCAATTGGAACATGCATTTTAACTTTAAGTAGTGGTTTTGTTTTAAAATTGGAAAGAACCTTTTATGTAAAGTTTCTTACGAAACTTAATTTCTCTTTCCAAACTCGTACCATTTGGGTATTCCTTTAATTTTAAAGACACATCATTTCGTTTATTACATAAATCTGATTGTGTTGGGAATGGTATTTTGTCTGACGGCCTTTACCGTATTTTATTACAAAATGATAATACTTAAGGTTCAATGCATGTTCACGCTGGCATTAAGAGGTGTAATATTAATGAGGACTCCTCTATATTATGGCATCGGAGATTAGGACATATCTCCATAGAGAGAATTAAAAGATTAGTTAAAGATGGGGTACTTAGTACTCTTGATTTTACTAATTTTAAGACTTGTGTGGACTGTATTAAGGGAAAGCAGACCAATAAGTCCAAAAAGGATGCTAATAGGAGTTCAGACTTATTAGAGATAATTCATACTGATATATGTTATCCAAACATGGACATACATGGTCAGAAATACTTCATCTCCTTTATAGATGATTACTCATGATATATGTATATATATTTACTTCATAACAAAAATGAAGCATTAGATGCCTTCAAAATCTTTAAGGCTGAAGTTGAGAACCAATGTGGTAAGCAAATTAAAATTGTGAGATCAGATAGGGGTGGAGAATATTATGGTAGATATACTGAAAATGGACAAGCACCTGGTCCTTTTGCTAAGTTTCTTCAAGAACATGGGATTATTGCCCAATACACTATGCATGGTTCTCCAGACCAGAATGGTGTTGCAGAAAGAAGAAACTGAACCTTATTAGACATGGTGCGGAGTATGCTTAGCAACTCCAGTCTTCCTAAGTTCTTGTGGACTGAAGCATTAAAAACGGCTGTGTATATATTAAACCGAGTTCCAACCAAGGCTGTCCAAAAGACACCATTTGAACTATGGAAAGGTTGGAAACCGAGTTTGCGACATATGCGTGTTTGGGGATGTCCGTCTGAAGTCAGGATATATAATCCACAAGAGAAGAAACTGGACTCGAGGACTGTTAGTGGGTATTTCATTGGATATGCCGAAAAGTCCAAAGGTTACAGGTTCTATTGTCCATCTCACACAACTAGGATTGTGTAATCAAGAAACGCTAAATTTCTTGAGGATGATGTGATTAGTGGGAGCGATCATTTCAGGAACATAGTTTCCGCACATGATCATATAGAATCTCAACCTTCCATATCAAATGATAGATTGGTTATAGTTCATAGCACCCCTCAAGTACAAACTAGTGCTGAACAACCAATCATTGAAATTTCACAAGTTGTTGATAGTATTCTAATAGATCAAGCAGTTCAGGAATTACAACAAGCTCCTGAACAACTAGTTGAACCACAAGTTCCTCAAGGAACCATTGGTACAACATTAAGAAGATCTACTAGAAATAAAAGATCAGCAATTCCTAGTGATTATGTTGTATATCTACAAGAATCTGATTATAATATTGGAGCAAAAAATAATCCTGAAACATTTTCACAAGCCATGAGTTGCAAAGAGTCAAATTTGTGGCATG